CTTTACATGAGCCAAGAGACACCATAACAAGTGTTTTATGAGAGCCACACGACGTCGTGATTAGTGTATTATGTGAGCCAATAAGACAGCGTGACAGTTTTCTTTGCATGAGCCACGAGACACCATAACAAGTGTTTTATGTGAGCCATAAGACACCAAGAAAAGTGGCTAATGATAAATGTTTGTTATTTTGGCCAACATCCCCTCCATTAAATTTGTACAGCACAGGGCGGGCAACTCTGATGAGGGAAAGAATCATTGACTCAACTCTATCTCTTAAGAATATTATATTTAGGGTAGGGTTTGGAGAGAGATTTTAAATCGCCGATTTAAAAAAAAAAAAAAGTAATTAATTTAATGTAAAAGTAAATGGTACAGCAGATAAGAACTACTAATGCCAGTGTTTCCCAAACTTTCAACATCTGTGGACCCTGTCTATAATTTTCGTAACACTGAGCAACCCCGTTAAAAAAAATACATATTCTTTAATAACAATTTAAAAAAAGGATTTATTTACACCACCAAAACTTTTCCAGCACCCCCAGGGGTACGCGTAACTCACTTTGGGAAGCACTGCTCTATGCAGTAGAAAACCATTGTATTAGTTGATATGTTAAATGTTTGACACAGTAATACCACAGTATTAGATAATATGTTGAATGTTTCAAACCGTAGTATTAGATATATGTTGAAATTTTTTACACCATTGTATTAGATCAGCCCTGCACAACATTCGGCCCGCCATGCTTTCCGCCAACACCCACTTTGCGGCCCGCGAAGTAACGAAATATTCTTTATTATTATTATTTTCTTAATAGCTTTCCCCCCTCTGTCCTCTTATCTTTCGGTCCGCCACACGTTTTTTCCTAAAGTATTACGGCCCGCCTTACATTTTGAGTTGCGCAGGCCTGGTTTAGATGATGATATATTGAACCGTTGGACACCATCGTCGCCCACGCAATAGGAAATGACATGAAGGACATTTCGGCCCTAACGGGTGGTGGTGGTGAGGGGGGGGGGGGTCAAGTAGGTGCGTGGAAAGTTTGGGGACCTCCGTTGGGAATTCCAACTTTGAATAACAAGGCGCCCGTATTTATGTGCTATACTTCAGTGCTGGAGATTCCCCAGGTCGTGGGACAAACTGGGTCATGGGACAGACCAGGTCAGTGTACATCTGCTGGGAGAAATCGTGTGGACTTAAATGATTGGAAACTCAGGTTTTTTTAGGAATACTATGTGTGGCGACAAAACAAATGAGACAGAGAGTTGAGGAGATGTATGAGAATATGGGGGGGGGGGGGGG